ATAAAGAGGGGACATCTGAGACCCTACGTAGGATTCTAAATAAAGCAGGAATTAGGGTGGCATTTAAACCTACAAACTCACTCAGGGACAAGCTCTGTAGGTTAAAGGACCCAGTGGACCCAATTAGACAAAATAATATAATTTACAAAATACCCTGCAATGACTGTGAGGTCAACTACATAGGTCAAACTAGTAGGTCAGGAATAGTCAGATTGTCAGAACATAAGAATTTAGCTAAGATAAGAATGGTTGACCCAGAAAAGATAAGTAATTTAGAAAAAAGCTCGGCAATTGCAATGCATGCATTAACACACAACCACACAATAGGGTGGGAGAGGGTTAAAATTCTAAAAAGTAATCTAGGTAGGTGGAGAGAGAGGTTGATTACTGAATCTTTGTTCATCGAATCTACACCCAACACGTGCAATAGGAATGAATCATCACTAATACCCGAAATATGGAAAATAACACTACCAATCAAATCAAGTGGAAATCAAGTGAAAAATAATGGAACTATATAAATGAATTTAGGAAGTCGTGTGATTACCTTGATATGATTATGAGCAATAAATTGTGCTCGAAACGTCATCAGTAAATATTACTGTATAACACTGTGAGACTCTATCAAAATAAAATTTACCCATAATGGAATTACACTCTACCACAGTGCCCAAGTTTTATTCTTATATCAATGATACTTATGGTCTTCCTACCAGGAAGCTTATCAACAAACTCACACGACTTTGTCAAACTGAAGCAAGATTCACAAATCATCGGATTTTTAACAGTCGATGTTTAAAAAATCATATAATTCTGAAATATTTACGTCTACGTACTCCAATTACTTCAAGTAAAATAACATCAGCTGCCAAAAATGTCAGTAGATTATGTCTAAGAGAAGAATTACATCGAGTTACTGTGAAACTAAATAATTTACGAAATGAAATAGAAAAAGTCAAACACAAACTCAAATATATGATCAATGACAAAGATTATACAATTATTCTTGAAACATCCAAAAAAGCTAGAGAATCTGCGTTGAGAAAATCAAAAAACACACAAATCAAAAAATTCAACAAACTTATTGAAGAAAAGAACACAGCAAATGAAATTGATGTTAATGCTTCATCCTCGATCGACAAAACAAAGTGGGTGATCAACCTCTCATCAAGGGAACTAAGCTCCAGTGAGATAAAAGTACTGGAGAAAGGACTAAATTTTAACGTAACAGTTAATAAATTAAAACCAGAGGATGTCATTCCTAACATAGAAGTAGCACTAGGTTCAATAGATAAAACAACAGCAGAAGAGGTTCGAGCACAATGTGCATTAACCCTAAAAAATCAAAAGAAGGCAAAATCAAACTTGACAAAGTCGGAAAGAGAAGCTTTAATTAATCTAAAACAGGATAAAAATATTGTCATCGCAAAAGCTGACAAAGGAAACGCCACCGTAGTTTTGGATAAATCTGACTACATCAAGAAAGTCAATGAACATATTGAAATGGGTCCATATGAGGAAATTAAGAAGCCCGTAGACACAATAATGAATAAGGTTAAAAAATCCACAGCGGAATTAGTACGCAGAATGAAGCCGTCACTGGGTGAGTCAAAATGGTTTAATTTAATGCCTAAAACTAATAATGCTAGTAGGATGTATGGTACTATTAAAATACATAAGCCAGGTTATCCCATAAGACCAATAGTAGATTTTAGAAATACCCCTACATATGAATTATCAAAACATTTAGCTCTAATATTATGTCCCATTAAAAATCGTTCAAATTCTAGACTAACTAATTCATATGAAATGAAAAATAAACTAAATGACATACAACTAGATAATGATGAAACAATGGTTAGTTTTGATATAACCAGTCTTTATACTAATATACCAGTCAATATGGCCTTAGAAGCAGTTAAAAAAGAACTAACTGCGGATACTGAACTCAATCATAGGACAAAGCTGTCCATTGAAGAAATTATTTTAGGGGTTCAGCTATGCCTCACATTTACTATCTTTAGATTCCAAGGCAAAATATATAGACAAACTGAAGGTGTAGCAATGGGATCACCAATATCCCCTGTCGTAGCAGATATATTTATGGATAGCTGGGAAAATATGGCACTTAATACGTTTAATCCTACTCCAAAAATATGGTGGAGATATGTGGATGACACTTTCACAGTGTTAAAAACAGAACATATCTCTAGCTTCTTGACACATATTAACTCACTAGTAGAGGGGATAAAATTCACATTTGAATCGGAAGATGAACAAGGAGAGTTGGCTATGCTAGATTGTAAAATAAAACGAATAGAAGAAGGTAAACTTCACACTAGTGTGTATAGAAAACCAACGCATTCTAATAGATATTTAGATTTTAATTCGTCGCATCCGTTAACTGTTAAGGCAGGCTTAGTTAAGTGTCTAACAAACCGAGCCATAGCACTAAGTAGCACAAAAAAAGACCTAAACGACGAGATAAAACAGATAGAAGAAGCGTTGGTGTTGAATAATTATCCTTTAAAATTCATTAGGAAGATAACTAAAGGCCAAAAACAAAATAAAAATAATTGTGGAACTAGTAATGATAACATAAATAAGAGAGAATATAAGTCATCGACAGTTATACCATATAAAGAGGGGACATCTGAGACCCTACGTAGGATTCTAAATAAAGCAGGAATTAGGGTGGCATTTAAACCTACAAACTCACTCAGGGACAAGCTCTGTAGGTTAAAGGACCCAGTGGACCCAATTAGACAAAATAATATAATTTACAAAATACCCTGCAATGACTGTGAGGTCAACTACATAGGTCAAACTAGTAGGTCAGGAATAGTCAGATTGTCAGAACATAAGAATTTAGCTAAGATAAGAATGGTTGACCCAAAAAAGATAAGTAATTTAGAAAAAAGCTCGGCAATTGCAATGCATGCATTAACACACAACCACACAATAGGGTGGGAGAGGGTTAAAATTCTAAAAAGTAATCTAGGTAGGTGGAGAGAGAGGTTGATTACTGAATCTTTGTTCATCGAATCTACACCCAACACGTGCAATAGGAATGAATCATCACTAATACCCGAAATATGGAAAATAACACTACCAATCAAATCAAGTGGAAATCAAGTGAAAAATAATGGAACTATATAAATGAATTTAGGAAGTCGTGTGATTACCTTGATATGATTATGAGCAATAAATTGTGCTCGAAACGTCATCAGTAAATATTACTGTATAACACTGTGAGACTCTATCAAAATAAAATTTACCCATAATGGAATTTAGAAAAAAGCTCAGCAATTGCAATGCATGCATTAACACACAACCACACAATAGGGTGGGAATTATTGCTTAATAATTAATTCCGGTTCCTGATACTTATCTAATGAAGCAGTGTGTGATTTTTTCTATGTAATGGAATCCTCCTCCTCCTGTATCATCTTCCGTGTACTTTCACATAAATATGTGTCTACAAGGAGCATTCCTTACCCAAGGTAGATGTAGAGTGCTCGGGAGGTAGGGGGTTATGAGGCTACATCGATTGAGATGGTTAGACCACTTGTTGCGCATTCTGAGCCATCGCCTACCTCGACGAACAATGTTAGCTGACATGAGGTTGGGTTGAGAAAGACAAGGGTGGCCAGACCAAAGTCTTGAAACAATCCATAAAGTCTGTGACAGTTGATTTGCATCAGCTGCATAGGAAGGCGTAGACTAACCTGGTTGAAGCCCTGGAGACACTAAGAATCAACAGCTAGGGACTACTGATGATATGACTCAAAGTCATTCTCAATGGTGCAGACGCATTCACTCTTTGTGGTCTCCAAAATCCAACTAAACTTTCATGTTTTTCGACTTTACTACTCCTTCTCCCGTACACTTCTAATTACGGTTCTATTAAATCTCTTCTTTTTCTCCTCTACCTTTGTGTGGTAAGAACTTGTAGTGCTGATACTTTTGTGCAAAGTTTTATGTTGAACTTCAGTCAGTCACATGTGTCCTTAGTTGTTACCTCTGACTAATACTTTCAGTCCAATCAATAAAGTTGTTTTTTATTGGTTCACTCCAGGTGAACATAGAGAAGACGGATGTGGTAAAGATAACCAACCAACACCAACGGGAGAGATTTAACCGAGGTTACTTCCTTCATTTATCTAGGAAGTGCGGTTTCATCCATTGGTGGAAAGGATGATATCAATACCATCCAAAATCGGAAAGGCAAGCTACACCTTCATCAACCTAAAATCAGTTTGGAAATCTGCCGCATTCAGCAACAAGATTCAGATTTTAAACACAAATTTTAAGTTCGTCAGTCCTTCTCTGTGAGTCAGAAACTTGGCGTGTGTGTCATGAAAAGGATTTCCAACAAGTTACAGACTTTTATCAATAGCTGCGCACTTAGCTGACTGCATCTTGAAGATCAAATGGCCAGCCGGTCGGCCAAAAAGAATTAGCAACAAGAAACTCTGGCTGGGAACAATCCAACCAAGAGCTGATCGCTCAACAAATATGTAGGAGAAAATGGAGATGGGTCGCTGAGACATACGTTGAGGAGGCCGTCGAATGACATCGCGCTCAATGCAGGCCATCGCTCGAGTGGAATCCAGATGGGGAGTAACGCATGGGTCGTCGGTGCGAGTGACATGCAGAGCATCGTGCGAGTTGGAGCAGATGAGAGATTATGGGCAATTGTGGACCCAGATGAAGAGGACAGCAGAAAATAGAACCAAGTTGTACATGTGTTGTTGAAGCCCCATGTTCCACTCGGAACCCAAGGGAATAATAATAATAATAGTAATATGATGGCGAATATTCTGAGGGCTGGTTAGTTAAAAAAAATGCACACGGCGTTCGCTCTTGTAAATTTCTTAAAGTGTCATATGCAACTGTAGCGAAGATCTCTGATGTGACCAGCTCACTGTATACTAAATACTCTCAAACCAAACACAGTTATGAACGTTACCGTGCATATCAACCATAAAAAACACCAATGATGATGAAATAGAAATTTATTTATATTACATAATGACTGATAATGACTAAAATAACACAGCCAATAATGATCCGCGTTTATGAATACCTTCTGATTACATCATCACTGGAGCGTCTAGTTTTGTAACCCTTCGAGAATGATGAATGCGATTTCGAATTTGAATAGCCTTTTTTCTTATTACTATTATTATTAAAACGAGAGTATCCTTCATTTTCACCAATATCCATATTAGCATATTCCAATAAAATTTGAGGAACTTTTTCTGAAATACCAATCGATTGGAATAGTTGACAAATTCCACGTGACAATGTTTTAGTGCCTTCATCACTTCTCAATACAGAATCATTGATAAGTGTAACAGCTTCACCAGTTTTACCCATACGACCAGTTCGCCCAATTCGATGAACATAATCATCTATTTCTCTTGGTAAGCCAATATTTATGACTGTACGAACGTTAGGAATGTCAATACCTCGAGCAGCAACCTATTTAGAAGAAGAAGAAGACGATAAACATGTGAGTACTTAAGTGTGGGAAGACAACTCAAATAACAGAGGTCATAATGATGCACCATAGAAATTAGGTTCATACACCAACATCTGTATAGTTGGTGTTGACTGTTTATGGTTAAAAAATGATAGTCATAGGAATGGATGTGATAGGCATCTTTTGAATATCTTAAATGACTAGCACATCATTGTACATTTGTGATATGCTAAAGGTGGAACAGCTTAGATTCTGGAAAAAATGTCGATTTGTACTCTAACTGGAAAGCAGCTTTAAAGTACTAGTGCCATTTTGCAAGTTCATGTTGATTCCACAGGTAGGAGTGTAACGACAGAAGACAATGGCCAGGCAACAGATTGTTTATTGAGTAAATCAAGAGATATTTTTACGTACATTATTATTCGTAATTATTAATAGAGAAACAGCGTCTTCTGATTAATTGTTTTCTCGCTGAAAGTTAATCTGTCATCTCTTTGTGGCTATTTCTTTGAAGGTTAGGACTCTCGCCGACCACGCATACGGTCCGGGGTTAGGTCGCCTGCCGACGCACACCCGATATCAATGGTCGGCCTGAAAAATTGGGCTACTGATATCACATGCTGAAAATTCCATACTTGTACCGAAAATACGGTGTGGGATCAAGCTATAATCAAAAAAATATCTGCGAGTCGTATCCGCCCACGCAGTCTTTGTTCTTGTTTTTCTCATGACCAAGATTTGGGACGTAAATTGCTGTCTACCAATTTTGGCTGACAGACAGCTCTCACCACAGGAGTGTAGTTTTTCTTCATTGAAACATTAGTAGCAAAGATTCTATGAATATGAAATTCATATCCATGAGAAGCATTTACATCTCTACGGATTTTTAGTCTGTGTATATTATACTATTCACAATATAGTCAGATGTACACAAACATTCTCATCGGATGATTTTCTTCGAAGGCCGTATAAATCACTTGCCAAAATGTTAATTCTTTCAATAAATAAGTATACGAGATTATGTGAATTATATGTAGTATGTCAAAATGTAGAAGAACACGAACGTGGAACCACAAGGCAGTCATCTGGTGGACGATGACTAGCAGTGGAATCCAGGATGCGCGCATCATCCTGAATTTGAGACTGATCAGCTGGATGTGCCTTCAATCTCCGGTGAATGATGATGTTCCCATTCAGACTTGAACCCAGCACCCATCGTTTCCAAAGCCAAAGCACTGTCCACTCGGGTCTCGAGAGCCACTTCTTGTGTAATTATTTTTATTATTATTGTCCCCTTGGGTTCCGAGTGGAACATAGGGCTTCAACAACACATCTCCACTATCTTCTATTTTCTGCCGTCCTCTTCAGTTGGGTCCACGACTCCAAAAACTCTCTCATCTTTTCCTCACACACCCTCGCAACGACGACCCATGCATCGATTCCTATTCGGATTCCACTCGAGCGATGGCCTGCATTGAGCGCGATGTCATTCGATAGCCTCCTCAACGTATGCGCGATCCATCTCCAGTTTCTCCTACATTTGTGTTGAGCAAAAGGCTCTTGCTTGTTGGTTTGTTCCCATAGTTTCTTTTTGCGTATTCTTTCTGGTCATTTGATCTTCAGTATGGAGCCAGCGATGGCATCTGTTGATGAAAGTCTGCAGCCTGCAGGAAATCCTTTTCGTGCCACGTTGGCCAAGTTTATGACCCGTATAGAAGCACTGACCGCCTTCACATTTGTGTCGAAAATGCGAATCTTGTTCCTTATGCTGAGTGACAAAGATTGCCAAACTGGTTTCAGGTTGATGAAGGCGTATCTAGCCTTTCCGATTCTGACTTTGACATCTTCATTCGTTCTCCCTGTAGTTGAAACGAAGCTTCCTAGATAAGTGAAGGAGGTAACCTCTGTCAAACATCTCCTGTTGAAGGTGATTGGTGCTGGTTGTTGTTGCTGTTGGTTGGTTATTTTCATCACCGCCGTCTTCTCTGTGTTCACCTGCAGTCCTCTTTCGCTGCCAGCCTCATCAGCCAGTTTGTTGGTTTTCGCTTGCAAGTCTTCGAGTTTGTGTGACATTAGACATATATCATCTGCGAAATCCAGAGTCTTCTTATTGGTCGTCCAGCGTATTCCTGACTCCTAGCCCCCAATAGTCTTCCGCATAATCCAGTCTACCACAGTTAGGAATATCATCGTCGGTGATAATAGGCAGCCAGCTTGTCTTACTCCTGTATGCACTTCGAAAGCCTCACTGAGTTTTCCGTTGTGGATCACTTGACACGTGGGCATTGTCATATAACCAGCTGTTGAATGAGTTTGACAAAGACTTGAGGTACACTATATTGTTGAAGCAGTTTCCAAATTACTTCTCAGTCAACGCTGTCTGCCGAAAGCCTTTTCGAAGTCAATGAAGCCATTGAGGGAGAGGTTTGACTGCTATTCTATGCTTTGTTCTGTGATGACGATGCGTAGAGTTGCAATTTGATCAGCACACGATTTGCCTTTCCTAAATCCAGCTTGTTACGGGCTGGCGGAGTTCTGTATCCAGTGCGTCTTTTATTCTTTCCAGGGTGATACGAGTTAGCTTCTTACTTGGTGTGAACAAGAGCATTATTTCATGCCAGTTCTTGCACAGGCCTAAGTCGCCCTTCTTTGGCACCTTGACAAGGCAGATAGCCTTTCTTCAAATCTGCAGGTACCTTACCTTCTCTCCAAACCTTCGGTATTAATGGCGTGAGCACAACTGCGGCAGTCTCTGGGTCTTTTTCCAGTGCTTCGAGGGGAATTCCGTCCAAGCCTGCTGACTTCCCAGACTTCAGTAGCTTGATCGTACTCACGGTTTCTTCTTCCGTTGGAAGAGTGGTATGCACCGACAGTTCCGGGAGTGTTGTTGTTGGTATTTCTGGGCGAGTTGCAAGTGATGGTCGATTCAAGAGTCCTTTAAAGTGATCAGCCAATTGTTTTATTTGTTTCTCCTCCTTGGTGATCAGGTTCCCTTGAGCGTCTTTTATTGGTTTCATCATCTGGGTTGTAATGGGTATCAATTATTACTTGTTGAAGTCACTTGGTTTTTCCGCTAACTGATTGGACCTTGTTACTAACATCCTACTCGGCAACGAACCTATCAAGAATCTATTACCTAACAAATATACCAAGGAAAGTCTGTCTGCCTGTCTGTTTTCGACATAGAACTTTGCACATATGTGCGGCAGTTCAAGTCGCCACACTCCATGTAGCACACAAAGCAAGAGAAGAAAGTAGGAGAAATGCATAATAGAGACAGTAAACAGAGGTGTGAGACAAAGGAATAGTAATAACGAAGAACAAAACAGTTTCATTGGAAATCATAAGTCACAAGGAGTGGATGCATCTGCGCCATCCATTGAGAACGATTTTGAGCCATGTCACCAATTGTTTCCAACCATTGGTTTTTACCGTCCCGAGGACCCCAACCAGGAAGTCTACACCTTCCTACGTGGCTTAGACTAACTGTTGTAGATTTCATTGACTGGTGCCATGTTTTGGTTTGACCAGCACTGGCTCTTTTCCAACCTGACCCTATATCAGCTAACATTGCCCGTCGAGGAAGGCGATGACTAGGCATACGTAACACATGTCCTAACCATCTCAGTCGATGTAATTTCACAGCCTCGTCGATTGATTTCCCCTCCTTACCTAGCACTCGACGCCTAACCTCAATATTGCTCACCTTATTATACCACTTCACACGGGAGATAGAGCGCAGACACCTATGATCAAAGACAGCTAATCTTTTCATGTCTTCCACTCTCAATGGCCAGGTCTCACAGCCATAAAGGAGGACGGAGCGAACTGATGAGGAAAGTGGAGATAGATCGGACAGATGCTGGGGAGACCGTTGGTTGTCGTCATGCGCCAGGCCAGTCCTTGGGTGGAACCCGAATGGAAAAACGACAAGTTGGGTGTGGGTCAGAGGGTGACATGTGACAATAAGAGGAAAACATATGGCCAATCGTTGATTTACAGAAAACAGGATGACATGGAGATGTGCTGTTGAAGCCCTTTGTTCTTCTCAGAATTCACTAAACATTAGTAATTATTGATTATTATATTGTTGTCATTATCCTGTTCACTTTTGTTTATGATCATTGTAACAATTTGAGCAAAAGCAATTAGTACATTAAATTTACTGCCATATATCATGTTGATACTCATTTTCATTTGATTCATCACAGCTCTTATTCACACTATGAAAGTATGCCAGACAATAATCAAGACACTCCACTAGAACTCACGCAGCCGTGTAAGGACATTATGCAGTGTTATCAATGTGAAGTGATGATAACCAGTGGTGTCTGTCAGCGATGCTCGCTGTTCTGTTTAATTCTGATTAATATCATCGCAGATGTACTAATAGAATTGACCACAAGTGAATTCAGTGACTCAGGGATTGACTTGTTAACAGGAGACAGCCTTATGAACTTAGAGTATGCGGATGATATTGTCCTTGTAGGCGAAGACGCTGACAAAAAAATACAGTCTTCTGAATACCTCGAGAGGAAACCTTTGAATGTTTGAATGAAGAACTGAACAATACCGACTTCCAGTTTGAAGATAGGGAGTGAAGTGGTGGTGGTGTTGATGATCGATTTTAATTAATTGGGGGAGTTGTATCAAATATGATTACTGACGAAATCTTATCACGGATTCAAAAGGCTCGTGTGGGATTTGACAGCAACATCTCTGGTGCAGACGTGATATCCGGCTGGCTATCGATCAAAGGACGTGTACTGCACAGCAGTTCACTCTGTTCTCGTTTATGGCTGTGAGACATGGCCATTGGAGTTGGAAGATATGAAAACACTAGCTATCCTTGATCACATATATTTGCATTCTATATCCCATGTTAGGTGGTATAATATGTTCAGCAATATAGAGGTTAGGCACACAGTGTTAAGTAAGGAGGGGGGGGGTCAATCGATGAGGTTGTGAAGTTACATCTACTGAGATGGCTAGGACACGTGTTACGGGATACTAAGGCACCGCCTTCCTTGTTGAGGAATGTAATGTGACATTAGATCAGTTTGGAGGAGAGTTAGGGATGGTCGAACCAAAATGGCATCAATCCATGAAGTGTCTTTGACAGGTGATTTGAACCAGCTAAGTTGAGAGGTGAAGACTATCTGGTTAGGGTCATCTATATGGTACGAATCAATGGCTGGGGACTATTGGTGATTGATATGGCTCAAAACCGTTGGCAATGGAGTGGATGCATTCCCTCTTTTCAATATGTCAGATCTATTCAATCCTCATGTGATTCCATGTTACTATTCTTTCACCCCGTACATTTCTGCGTATTATAGTTCTGAATATTTTTTCTCTCGCTTTTGTCTACCTCTGTGGGATATAAGGGATTGGGTTACTTCAACTGCTGCATTTCTCTGCATAGTTCTATGCTGACACTCAGTCTATGGAACTTTACTTGTAAATAACTAATAGCCAGAGTAGTTGGCTCAAACTTAAGTTTTCCAACACCAACTAATGTAACAGTATCACCACTGAACAATAAAATGCCAAGCTGTTTTTTTTTGCCATAGTCTAACCGACATAGCAAGTGATTAAAGATGTGTATAAAAGGATAGATACTTATTACAACTGATGCAAGAAAGAAAGAATGAAAAGAAAGTTCAACTCACAGATGAAGCGACGAGGACATGAACTCTTCCTTTACGGAATAAATCTAAGGCTTTGCCACGAGCAACTTGAGATTTATCACCATGAATTGCAGCTGATTGTACACCATTAGAATATAGATATTTATCAATAGCATCAACTTCTCTTTTAGTATTACAAAATACAAGAATTCGGCAAGTACTGTCATCTGATGAATTCAAAGCTATATATAAAATAAAGACACATATTATGGAAAAATATAAGCAATAACATTCATCATATCGACATGGAGAAATAAATCGCGTGGAAGTAATACGCTTAAGATTTATCGAGAGAGAAGAGTTATTATTATTGTTTCCTTTAGTTCCTAGAGGAACATAGGGCTTCAGCCACACGTCTCCATTGTGTTTGGTTCTCTGCCAACGTTTTCACCTGGCTCCAAGTCTGCTCACATGCTTTCATCTCCTCTTCACATGACCTCCTTCAAGTCACCCTTGGACGACCAATTCGGCGCTTCCCGTTCGGGTTCCACTCGAGGGCCTGTTTGTACTTTCATGGTTTCCTCAAAGTATGGCCAATCCACCGCTATTTCTTCCTGCTTATTTGTTGCACAATCGGTTCCTGTTGGTTAGCTCATTGCCAGAGATTCCTATAGCTGATCTTTTCTGGCCATCTGATCTTGAGTGGTACTGAGCGAAGACAGCTGTTGATGAAAGTCTGTAGTTTGTTCGAAATGCTCTTCATGATGCGCCAAGTCTCTGATCCATAAAGTAGCACTGATTTCATATTGGAGTTGAAAATCCGGATCTTATATTCCATGCTGAGTGCTGTTTATGTCCACACAGACTTTGGATTGATGAGAGCTTGCCTTGTTTTCCCGATCTTTGCTTTGATATCCTCGTGAGTTCCGCCTGTAGTTGCAACGATGCTTCCCAGAGAGAGAGTTAGGAGACATATTTCGATCAGCACTTTTGTAACCTTTATCATATCTATGATGACGTACTTGTTACCTCAATTTCAAATATCTTCATTTTTAATTCCTTTGTGCTCCAAGTGGAACATATACCTTCAGAGGGTTCGAAATTTAAAGTTCCAGTGGCAATGATGTTTATCTTTTTAAGGAATGCGGTTGCTAGCTTTGCAAGCATACTTTCCGTCTTTACCAGACTTACTACTGGCTAGGTGAGGTTTAGGAGTTTTTCAGTCGCGGATCGAACACAGGATCGCGTTCGCGTGATTGGCGCGTATTCCTGCCACTGTCCATTACTTAATGTGTGTTCCACTTTTGTACCAACAACTCACCAAAGGCTTAAAACAATCCTTAACTAGGTTATTCATTCCCTCCTCCATCCTCACGTTGTACGATTATATTATATTATGAACAATCATCGTCCATTCGGTGGAGTTGGTTTTATGGAGGTATGGCTGATTGACTTAAGCACTCAGTTTTCATCCATTTGGTTCTAGGTTCGAATCCGTACCACATACTTCAGTCTGAACAACTGAGTAGTATCATCACTAGCCATAATACGATAAGTGTAGGGCTCATGGCTTTGTACATGAGAAACCTGTTTCAGATAGCTGATTTATAACACACAACATCATAACAGCTTCTCAAATAAAAAAATGACCTGATTTCCTACTTGTAGTGGCATTCCACTAAAAAAAATATATTCGCCGCCCACTTGACCTGTCATTGTAATAATAAGTTTCACTTGATAACATTACGAATATGAAGAGCTTCTATGGAAAAGAAGACTATTATATTCCACTAACCTCCAATATGACTCTTTTTACTCTCACTTTTCATTATTCTGAATAACAACCAGTTTTCGTGAATACTACTTTCTTACCAATAAATAAGCTGTCTGGACATGTGGTAAACTGTGGAGGATGAGTTAAATCTTTTGAGGAAAATCCCAATAGAAAATGGATTTCCACTACGTTTTATAGACAAGAGTATAGTTTCAAATCCTATGAAGTGTGACTTATCATCCGTACTCAATAAAATACTGAACATGAGCTTGGAATTCAAAGGTGACTCTGCTTCCGATATTATGAAAAGAAGGATATTACAGTCCCCAAAAAGCACATTCCCTGCTGCATCTTTGAGAATAGCCTTTACAAGTCCACCATAACTGTTCAATAAACTGAAAGATAAGATCCCGCTGTTGACCAACTCTATGTGCGTTTATCAACACACCTGCTCGTGTGGAGCTAGGAATACCGGTCGTTCGACACGAGTTTTGTCCAAGAGGGTGCAAGAACAGTATCCTGCATGGTTATGAAGAGTTAGAAGTGGAGTAATAAGAAGTGCGATCATTGAACATCTGGTCGATAATGATTTTATATCGGGGGCGTGGGACACCCTATCTCTATAGCCTCCGCCTTTAAAGTCATCTACAAGGCAAAAAGTAATTTACCCAAATCACTACGTACCCGACTCATTTGTATTGCTGAAGCTTTGGCTATCGAAACAGAAAAGCCAGATCTCTGTGCACAGAAAAAGCTCGTTCAACTCCTCCAACGTTTATGGTCTTAATCCCTCTATGCTAAAGTATGGTAATCCCTTATCATATTTTGGCTCTACCAATTTTTTTCATTTTGTCTATTCAATTTGTATACTCTTTCTTTATTACGTCAATTGTTACTATTATTATTCTCACTTTCAACTGTCCCCGGTATTATTTCACTTGTCTTTCTAAATCAATTCTGTTTTGCAACGTTAAATTCTATGTTACCAAATTTCACACAATATTACGTAACGTTTTTATTTTATTCGATTTGCCTACTAATCCTATAATTGCACACTCCTTCCAAGTTCTATACATCCTATGAATTATTCTCTATATATGACACTAATTGTTTTGCCACTTGACATTTAACTATGATTATAATCACAAACATTTTAATTGCATTTCATACTATTATTATTTTATGTATTCACACCTATGATTTAATTCCCTCACCGGATATAACTTCTTAAAAACCATATATATATATATATATATATATATATACGATTGTACAGCTTGATAATAAATTTGTTGAAAAAAGTCTCTTCGATGAATCACTTGTTTTGATTTGTAATCAGAGTCATCAGTCTATGACACTTATGACTATTTACTATCAACTTCTGGAATAATTTGACGGCCGAATTAGACTGATCCAATATAAAAGTACTTGGAATAACTCCAGAGTGTCTAAGAATGTCAATAGATTACAGTCTAAAAGCATCCATAAGTGATAATATGTACCAGTATAACAATTAACTGAACATCAGATAAATTAAGAGAGTAAACACGGAATGTATACACGTCCAACAGCAGGCCAGGATAGTAATAATGACTGGACTCATTTTTTTGCACACATAGACACATATCTACAGATGATTTAAGCGAACTGCAACGGGCTCTGCTGTTTGGAGTGTTCGGTGGTAATCTAGAGAGGTCCTTGATAATTTATTCAACAGACGATAGAGAAAGACCCTTCAAAGCTAGCTTTGTATCCTGTTTAGAAGAGGTGATCTAATGCAGAACTGTTGATGGTGTCCTAACAATACCTACAGTGGGACATGTTCCCGAGCACGAAGAACTAAGTTCTTAGAGTAACAGTCAATATAAACGGCTTCACAGGAGCAGCTGAACTAGGTAATGAGTCTTTCAGTTAAAACATTTATTGTCGCTTATAACAGTAATTCCCTTTAATAATTATCATATACACGTGTGACTGTAGAATCTAATGAAGAGGTTATTGAAACGATGTAGGATGAAGCCATTCCCTTTTCAATAAATATCAAACAAGCATGATACAACATAACAATGGATGTCATTAGTTTTTTTTTATAAGTCACACTATGTAGTACAACTTATGAGTAAAACACATGGTATACAACTTGTAACCAATACAACGGTATATTGCTAAATAATAACACCACGTTAAAAACTATCCATCGTGTCAGTCAACATAATTAGACTTGATTTTAATATATATCTAATACATTCACCAAGATTTGCCTACATTTCTATGCTTCGTTCATATTTTCCTAGAGTTATGACAAGTAGTATATTGTCTGTGCGTTGGTGTTTTTTTTCTTCCGAAAGGGCTTCAAGCTAGAAGCTTGAAGTTTCTGTAGCAGTGTTTATTTTTACAGGATGGGGTTGCTAGCCTCATGCCAAACCTTTCCTCTTTACCAGCTTTTATTTCTGGCTTAGCGAGGTAAAGGAGTGCGTCGGCCGGGGATCGAACTCCGGACCATATGCATGGTCAGCGAGTGTCCTAACCGCTATGCGCTGGTGTAATGTCCACCAACAACACACATAGTGCCAGTTCGCTTCTCGGTCAACACACTGACTGAGTTTCAACACAGATCTTTGCACCAAAGCGTGGCAGTTCAAGTTACCATATGCCATGTTGCAGACAAAAGACACAGAGAAAGAGAGAAAAAAGCAGACTCCTTAACCTCTCCCGGCAGACAGTCAGCCCGGAAAAGAGGGAGCGGGATAGAAGTGAGGCTAGCAATCCCACCCACCCATGGAGAAACAACACCACCACCTCTACTGAAACTTCGAAGTTGCAGCTTAGAGCCCTATGTCCCGCAGGAAACGAAAGAAGTGAAAAAAGAAGTATTTTTAATAGTGATATGTGTATTTTTTCTTGACTATTACTATCACAGACGGAGAGTTCCCAGACCAACAAAGTATCTTCATGTGAACCCGAAATTGAAAACTTTTTTCAGAAAAAAAGGGAAGGTATCATAACAGATAAGCTTCTTTGTTAGCCATGATAACCTGATCGGACAGTATTTTTTGATTCGATTATTTATGGATTCACTTTCCTGAGGTTTTTTCAATTCTATATACCATGTATTTTGAATAATAACGGCTGTTGTCTCAGTTAAATCTGGTTTTTGTGTCTATCCCAGAGTGTGAGGGATATTTTCAATGTTATAATAGTGTCGTGTGGGGAGGCGCATTCTAGTCAAGTCAGACGACAACCACAACCACAACTACAACACTCCGTCATGCCAATTACTCTCATTTACTTATATCCTACAAAAGTCCAGTATCCATTGTGGGTTGTTTCCGTTCTTTTCAAGTTAAGCCTAATTGTCCCCTTACCGTTTTCTCCTCATGTCACATATGTTACTTCTGCCATCATCTGTAACCTTTAACTTTGTAGTTTACTAACCCAAAGAATGGTGAACATTTTTCCACAGGTCTGCTTCACTAACTATGAATATCTGCACAAGAAGCCGACATGTCAACCTGAGACCGAGCACTTCGGTCCAATCAATCGACGGGAAAATCTAAAATTGAATTAAATAATTAATATGACCCGTTGCACTAGAGGTGGCTCTCGTGGCCCAAGTGGTCTAGTGGATAACGCTTTGGCTTGTGTTTGAAACTATGGACACTGGGTTCGAGCCTCAGTGGGAACATCATCACTCACTGGGGAATGCAGGTACATCCAGATGACGTGTCCCATATAGGACGAAATGCGTATCCTGGATTCCGCTGCTAGTCACCATCCACCAATTAAGAGGAGGGTCGAGAAAGCAAGACAGATCCCATCACTTTTAAATCAGAGTGCATATCTGCTGCACTCAGCTTAAGGAATAAGATCTGGATTCGCAACACTAATGTCAAATCAGTACTTTTACATGGTTCAGGAACCTAATGCACGAATAAAGAAGAGCATTTCAAACAGGCCAGTAGAGGCTTTCATCAACAGCTGCCCTTACTCTGTACTGAAGACGAGACGACCAGAAACGATTAGCAACAAGGGATTCTGGAAGGAAACGAACAAACTAGGAACCTATTACCCAATAAATATGCCAAAAGAAATAGAAAAGGATAGGGGGCAATACTGAAGAGATCGTTGAATGTCATTAACCACCAGACTCTGGAGTGAAAGCCGAATGCAAATGATAAGTTGGGCGTGGGCATCCGAGGATGACATATAGAGATCATGTAATTAGTAAATGAAAGTTTATGGGTAATTGTGGAGCCAGCTAGAGGACGAGATGAAATGGAAATGGGCTGCCGAAGCCCCATATTCCACTTTGAACCCAAGGGGACAATAATATTACGTAATACAGCACCACATATATATATTATATACATAAGAAACTAGATGAAAATGAAATTAAAATGTTTCTTCATTCTTACCTGCCTCAGTAGTTGTTTTTATTTCTTGAATAAGTTGTACAAGACGTTCTGGTATGACTGTATCTGGATTTCCGTTAACTACTTCAATACGCTGATCAATTTCTTTGGGAATTATTCGTGTAAGACGATCGAATTCATCTTCTACATGATGATTAATTCGTTTACCCCAAGTAGGAACTACAGTACCAGTATTATGCTCTGGATTCGTCAGAGTAAGTGAAATGCATTTTGGACCACGCATAAAATCTTTCGCTAGAAGACTAACTTCACGTGGAAATGTTGCACTGAAAAGTACAGTTTGTCTACAATTTCCCAATGGTGGTGGCATTTTATACTTTGGTGACTCTAATATTTGACGTATTTGTTTTTCAAAGCCCATATCCAACATTCGATCGGCTTCATCAAGTATTAAAGATCTAAATTAATTGAAATAAAACAATGAAACGACAATGTAGTTATATGAAGGGAACTGCAAAACTAATAATAGAAAATATCCAAACAAAATAGGTTGATCATATAGAAGCAGATATTTATTTTAGATCCCGATAGAACAAGCTAGTGCTTAGAAGTTTCAGTAACAGTGGTATTTTTAGGGGATTCAGTTGCTAGCCTCATGCCCAACCTTCCCCCCTTTATCATGTTGACTACCAGGTAAGAGAGGTTTAGGAGTGCGTCGGTAGGGGATCGAACGCCGGACCACTTGTGTGGTTGGCCAGCGGTTTTACCACTAAGCTATCGACGCACATAGAAGCAGATAGTTGAACAGAATGTATTCATTTGCTACTTATCATTCTGTATGCATTCATCACTACAGAAATTGAAAAATGTTCAATCAACTGAATAACAAGTTGACAATATTTCTTTCCCGTAGTAAATTTAAGACAAGCAAAAACTGTGGATAACCACTACTTAACGAATTCAAAAATTTCGGTGGGAATCATCAGCTGAATACTCAACAAATACTGTTATTCATACAATTCCCTTTTAAGGTGAAATGCATACAAGCACATGAACATTGTGAGAACAAATAAAGATCAATTTCAACAAAAATACGATCAAACAGTGGTCAGTGATAATCTGTCAATATAACTACTACTGAGTTAGTAATACTCGTCAAAGCACATTTTAAAATTTTCTTTTCGACGAAGTCATCATCTAGGCTGTACATTCGTGTATTTATATCAAATGGATGGGAAAGTTCCAGAATAATTTCCGGTTAGGGGTCAAATTAATAAAAATTACAATTAGGAATTAGAATGCCATAATAAACAGGGGGATGGGTAAAACTCAAACAAAGTAGCATTATAATAACTAAGAAGATTGACATTGTGCAATTGGGGGTTAGAAATGTAAAAAATAACAAAATATACAGGATGTTTGGATAAAAAACTAATGTGATGAATAATTGTTTATGCAATCAGGGATTAAATATGTAGAAATAGTAAAATGACAAAATAAACAGGAAGTGTGAATATGAAAATATGGTAGTGTAGACAGGGATTAAGAAAAACTTAAAATAACATGAATAAACAGGAAGTTTAGATAAGAAAGGCGATGGGATGGTCATTATTAAAAAATTTACCTGTTTATGATGGCCATGGCAGGGACAGGGGTTGGACGTGTCCAATTCTACAGTCAACATGGAATCTTCATCAGATTACGGACTCCCCAAGCTATTTCCAGAAGAAAGTGAAATCACCACGCCCACTGTGCCCACGTTGCCCCGTCCTCCAACGTTGCAGCTGTCATCAGACTATCCCAGATGGAAGAAGCGCATACGGGTATTCCTCAGCATATCTCCACCAGCCCACCATTTCCTTCATGTCCTAAACGCCCTCTCTGAGGATGCCTTTGCACGTGCCGATGCTGCCGGCTTCAGCAGCACAAAATCCATGCCGGAAAACTGGCAAATACTCGACAGTTGTTTCGATTTAAAATTGGGCTCAGATCATGCCCTCCTAAAGTTCTTCAGCCGTCGACAATTAACCGGGGAAAGTCCCCTAGAGTACTACCACGCCTTACAACTTATGGCAGCTGAAGTGGACGACAACGCAGATCCCAGTCACAGAGACCGCCTGGTGCGGACACGCTTCATCGAAGGGGTTTTGCCCGGCGACTTACGAACAGAGCTACTTCGCCACCCCCACCCCCCGCGAGCACAACTGAGCTGCAGCGTGTCATTTTGCGCTTCATGGACGCCGAAAGCAACACTATATCGTCAGCCAGCACCTCTCTCTGTACCATTCCAACGGCAACGACGGCAGCTGCCCTTACCACCGCCCCTCGCAACCCAACGCGTTCCCAGAGGCACTCGGATGCAGATACCACCTCTAGCCAATGCTACTATTGCCGACGTTACGGAAGAAAAGCTCGCAAGTGCGGACACAACCGCCCCCGGGGTAATAGTAAGTCTCCTTTTCACAATTTGTCTACCTTTTCATGTAATAAAGAACCTCTCACTGTGTGGGGATTTGTTAATGGTGTGAGAACTAAGATTTTATTGGATACTGGGGCATCAGTGTCTTTAGTCCGGACATCCCTTCTACACCGACTGACCCACTATCCAGTCCTCAGCAACCACTTCTTTTTTTCATGTCCACACTTCCTGTTTATTTTGTCATTTTACTATTTCTACATATTTAATCCCTGATTGCATAAACAATTATTCATCACATTAGTTTTTTATCCAAACATCCTGTATATTTTGTTATTTTTACATTTCTAACCCCCAATTGCACAATGTCAATCTTCTTAGTTATTATAATGCTACTTTGTTTGAGTTTTACCCATCCCCCTGTTTATTATGGCATTCTAATTCCTAATTGTAATTTTTATTAATTTGACCCCTAACCGGAAATTATTCTGGAACTTTCCCATCCATTTGATATAAATACACGAATGTACAGCCTAAATGATGACTTCGTCGAAAAGAAAACTATCTTCGCTGCAACCGTCTTTTTATTAATTCCTATGATCCAATGTGTATATTCCGACATATTAAAGTATACACTGGAGTTATTTTAGTAGAATTAACACCATTATAAACATCCAGAATTGAGAATACAGTTTGAAATACAAGGAAACTTCATGAAAAACACAAATGAATATATCTAAGCTACGTAAACCACACAGGACTACATAACGAGATTTAAACATACCTGACCTAACTAAACACGCCTAAACATGATCAATATTGATCTATATTTGATGGAGAAGATTTGTAGGTCAGGTAGATGATTTTGATGTGGTTGTGTCCTCTGAGCTGGATAGTTAATTTGCGAAGCTTTCGTCACCCTACTACAAGATTAATTGTAACAACTGCGAAAAACACTACATTGGCCAAAGTGGACGTCCGCTTCGTCTTCGTATCCACGAACATAAGCTAGCCATCAAAAGACATGACATCCACTCCCTCATATCACTACATACAGACAACCACGGACATCAGTTCGATTGGGACAATGCTTAAATATTAGACAGAGGAAACAACAAAAATATTTCGATTTGACACTAGTAACTAGTGTGATGCATCTAGTCCTCTCTTTGGTGCAGACTGAATTCTATCAGTCAGGTTGTAATGTGGCCACCATTCTAGGTGGTTCGCCATCACAGTGGACATTGATTTGATGATATTAGATGGTTGGAGGCAATCGGCAGGAAGCCTTGGACCTAGGTTTCGTGCTAGTTGGCACTCGTCAGCAAAGCGTATCTGCAACTTTGAAGGAACTCATTTCCCGTCGGATTTCCGAACATCATCCTGCGCGGTTGGTTAAGTAAAGAGCAAACAAAATCCATTCGTAGCGCTATTCTATCTTCTCTTGTGGATACAGAACACAAGATTGATGTCAATGAGGCTTTCAAAGTCATTTACCGCATACCAAAAAATCTTAACTTCACCTTAAGAGTTCGATTACTAAATATTGCTGAGGCTGTTGGGATCCATATTAAGAAGCCTAATTTATGCATCCAAAAGAAGCTAAGCTAATTCAGACATTATCCTTAACTTGGCCATCTAGGTTTGAATGATCCTCAATTTTCGTGGAAATTTCCCTAATTTTATTTGATATTCTATTTGCTACTATATCTTTGTTATAATTATTTAGGCACCTTTAATGAACTGTAATTCCAATTAAAAGTGTTCTCTGAGCTGGTTGGTTTAGTCGCGAAGCTTTCGTCGTCCTTCCGGACAACATCTTCAGCGCCATATTTAGCACAAAGTGAAATGATTTAAATTTCTTCATGCGTGATGTAATTGCGTCTCCTGGTTACTATCTTCACATATGTATTGACCACTTTCTATTGACTACGATTTTTAAACTTTTTGGTCACCTGATCTACTTTTTATTAATTGGTATATTTAATCTATATTAACGTGTTTGTTAATCGCATTTTCGCTTGAGTACCAGGCTTCGAGGAATTCTCTGGCACTTTTCGTGTTTCCTCTGTTTAAGATTTTGACATGATCCCAATCAAACTGATGGCCATAGTTGTCTGCATGCATTGATACTAACGAATACATATCATGTCTTTTCACGGCTGATTTATGTTCTTGCATTCTGATTCGGAGGGGACGCCCACTTTGGCCGATGTAATGCTTGTTACAGTTCATACAATTTATTTTGTAGATGGTATTAATTTTATCCCCTTTTTCTGTTGGATCTTTTGGTTTGCATAATATCGAATTAAGCGATTTGACTGGTTTGTGTGCTATATCTATATCTAACGGTTTCAGTATTCTGGCTGTTATTTCAGAGATATTCCTCATGTATGGTAGAATGAATTTTCTTGTGGTCTTTGATGATGGTTTCTTGTTGGTGTTTTGATTCGACTTTAAACACTTTTTGATGAAATTTTGTGGATAACCATTCTTTTTGAAGACCGTTTGTAGGTAAACCAACCAGCTCAGAGAACACTTTTAATTGCAAATCATCCACCTGAGCTACAAATCTTCTCTATTATTTCAAGAACTGTAATTCCATTGTGATCTTCCTTAACAAATCGATATTATTTAAAAAACACCAATATTGTTATTGACTACTATTCTAGAATATTCTGTGTATATAAACATGTATATAACTGTAGAGCCAGAAGAGGAAATTATCGAAGAGGATATTCTTTGCTTAATTATTATGTTAAAACTGTTTGTGCAGATATACTTAATAATGTCTTAGGGCTGTAAGCAGCTGACGAAAAGCCAATGAAATAGACAATGACGGTACCATTTTATTCTACAAAAACTGTTGTCCTTGCTGTATTCAAAGTTGAAGAACCATTGAAAACCAATCAAGGAATACTGGAAAGCTGTTTCGCCCTAGTTCGGGACTCATCAACAGTTCGCATCCATGAATTTCAGGTTAACAAGGCAAGCTGGTAGACTATTAACCAATAGGACCCGACTCAATGACTAAACTATAAATTCCGACTTCCACGAATTGGTGATTTTAGCGCGACCACCAGGCAATATAACCGCTAGCGAGTAAGCTTTCCTCACTCCAGACCAGGTGAGCTCCACTGCTTACGACTTAATTGGAATTCATGGATCAGTGGCTGAATAGCCTACGGGTTTGCTTCGTGACTGGAAATTCCTGGGTTCGAACCGTAGTAATGGGTACGTACGATTGATGAATCCCGAACTAGGAAGAAACAGCTGTCCAGTACTCCTTGTTTGGTTTTTAATGGTTCTCTAATTCATATCAGTCCATGATCAAACTTAAACTTGTGTTTTTAAAAATGTTTGTCCCTTTTCTCTGACTTAAGAGATAATGAATATTGATTCTTACCAAGGCGAATAACGCCCATTAAACAACACTGTCTTCATCAGAAAAAGCTGCATTCCACCAGGTAAATGTGAGTAGACAAAATTCATTCACACTTAAAGAGCACTTCGAGATAACTGGAATTATGACAAAAACTTATACAAAAAAAATGATAAAAATAAACAAATACCTGCAGAATTTCAAACATATTGCATCCCGCTGTAGAAAATCCAAAAGTCTACCTGGAGTGGCAACAATTAAATGACATCCTTTTTGTAATTCAAACAACTGTTTTTCTGGTCGATCACCACCATATACAGCTACTGGACGAACAAAAGTCTGATTGCATAACTACAAATAAACGATGGAAATTATTATTATTACTCCAACACAAAAGTAATAATTACCTTGAGTAATTCCGATAGAATCTGCTGGACTAGTTCACGAGTTGGTGCCAAAATCAGCGATGAAGGATATTGACATGGGGAACGAGAGTTGAGCTAGTCATGCATATAAAAGTTTAAAGATGAAAAATAAAATTAATGAGATCGCCAGATAGAGTCGACAATAAACACACATATATAAGTTACAAGTAACTCAATATTTGATATAAGTATAAAACTTGGGCACTGTGGTAGAGTATAACTCCATAATGGTTAAGATTTTATTTTGATAAATCACACAGTGTTGTACAGTAATATTAACTGATGACGTTTCGAGCATAAACTATTGCTCATAATCATATCAACTTGATATCAAAATCTGTTTTATACTGGATATCTCGTTCTCCATATCATCATTATCTGTTATAATGTTTCTAGCTCTGTTAACGAGATATAAAGCTAATGAAACTTTTATTCTTATTCGATGATTTGATTGGAAATTCAAATACTTTTTGGAATGTGTCGGTTTCTTGTATATTGTGAATTTTAGTTTCTCGTCAGTTTGTCTTTTTACAAGACAATTCAGAAAGCTTAGAGTTTCCTCATCCGTTGCTACATCATTATTAAACTATATATATATATATATATATATTCTGAGATTAAGTTAATCTGTGTTAGAAAGTTTTCTTTTTCAGCTTTCTTAATAATGATATTCATTTGTGTTTTTCACCAAGTTTCCTCGTATTTCAAATTGTTTTGTCAAGTCTAAATGTTTATAATAGTATTAATTCTACCAGAAGAATTCCAGTCTATATGTCAATGTGTACTCTGATGAATATCAACAGATTATCACTGACCACTGATTGATTGTATATTTGTTGCCACAGTGTGCATCTCCCTTTAAAAGGAAATTGTATAAATAGGAATCTTTGTAGAGTATTCAGGTGAGTCCTTTTTTCTAAATTTTCGAATTCTACAAGTTACGTTTTTCGAGAATTTTTGCTTGTTTGAAATTTAATACAGGAATGCAATGATTTTAACTACTAAGATATGCTAGGTCATTAGAATATGCTTGTGCCTTAATAAACTGAGTGGTTATCAAACATTTTGTTATTGTGAATCATGCCAGTTGTAAAATGACCCTGAGGAAAATACAAAATGAGGTCACCCTGCAGTGTCTCCTCAATGCCTTATATAGATTCATCAATGGGACTAACTGCCTCGATAATTTAGTCAATCTATTAAAGACTAATATGTTAGCCCTGACAGTTAAGCATGAAGACAGCTATGTCGCAGTTTACTGAGTAATCCCAAAAACACTTGAACTGTGACAGTCGCAATTTTACTTTTAAAGAATTTTCACACCAAAGAGCAGTCTGTTTGAAATAAACTGAATATTCTGAACAACTGATCAGTCCATGAATATAATAGACTGATTAAGAACAGAATGAAGAAACGTTAGCGTGGTCGTAAGCAAGATTATCACGTCTGAGTAAGTCTTGTTGTCGAGATGAAAGTAGATGGTCTACTCTTCAGACAACAAGCGAATGCCTTGAACCAAATTAATGATACCCGACGAGATAGGCTACTTACTATACGCCTGAATATTCTTGGTGTTCGGGGATGAATTCAACATGATACTAGCGAACAGTCTGATAAAATTGTATGAGATAATGTCAAGATGAATAAAAGAAACAAAGTAAATGATTTGTCTTTAAAAAATTTGATCGAAGTAATTTTTAGAATTGCTTCTGTATTGAGATTTTACTGCCGGTTACAGACCACCGCAAGGTAAGTTGAAGTGTGTAGGTTTACAGGTTGAGCATTTCTAACCCTCATCCCTTTCCAGAGAGGAGAGGCAGTATGACTGGCATGTTGGTTATCTGAAAGGAGTACCTTGTTGCTGATACATCCCTATTCACCCGCAGTATGACTTCGCTCGCAGACCTCAAACGGAGTATAAACAACTGACAACATTAAGGGAATTATTTTTAGTCTCACTGCTATCCAAACGACATTTTCGGCCTGGTAGAACCCGCAGGAAAATTAGTTCCAGCGTGTGTAGCTCGTCGGGTCATTGAGAAATGAAAGACCGACAGCCACGTCAAGGTATTAGCTACCAGTCAGGTTTTAGAACAGTGGCTCACTAAACTACCTAAGCATTTTTCAACAGTTGGTTCACAGGTTTTGGTCCCACCGTACCTACTGGTATTTCAACTGCCAGGGAGAGTAGTAACCCCCGCACCAAAGATGAAGTTACCAGCCAGTATACAAACCTCTACATGACCCCCAAGTTAACAGCTCTTTTATCAAACATTTGTTCACAAAGGGTGACCAACTTTCTGTCTACCAAGTACCGATGTAGCTCATCAGTTCAAACTCACTTGTTCACAATACAACCTTGCTCCAACTACTCCAACCTAGGTAAATGTATAATACCACCAGTCCTTACATAATCAATGGTGGCCTCTAGACTAATACAGATAAGAAATCTGTCCAAGCTAGTTGAGTTCTCACAAATTAGCTAGCATAGCACACGCTTACTTACTGCAATTTCACGACTGAGGATCTCTTGGTAAGAATAAACCGTAAACACTTTATAATTCCAAAAATCCCATACTCTACTTACCAGAGACTGCATCGCTTCGTATGGATAAACTCGAAGTAAACGATTTAACGATGGAAGAAGATAAGCCAGTGTTTTACCCGATCCAGTTTGTGCAGCAGCCATTAAGTCATATTTACCAGTGATACGTTCATATAGAGGATAATCATTTGGCGCATCTTCTTCATCAAGATTTGATTTACTCTTTGTTACATCAACCTTTTCATATTCATCAACTGACATAATACCAATAGCATGTTTCTGAACAGGAGTAAGATCAAATAATCCCATAGAATTAAGATTACTCAACAATTTCATATCCAATTTCGGGATTTCAGTGATCTGGAAGGAAACAATCAAATCAAAAAAAGAGGAAATTATACAAAATAGATGAAAAGAATAGTAATTTCCGACCAGTTAGCTCAGAATTACAAGCATAAACGTGTACCTAAACATTGGAACGGTTCACTGGTAGAGCGGTCACCAAATACTCACATTGTACTAGTTCGATAACAAGCTCAAGAAAGGAGAAAGGTTGGCCGTAAGTCTGGCAACCCCACCTCCTGACAAAATCACCAGTACGGAAGGCTGAAGCTCTACGTTCCACTTGGAATGTAAGGAAGTGAGGAAAAAAACACTAGAATGGACAGGAACTGTTTGTCAATTTCTGTAGCTCTGAACTTTCCTTCAGAAGAGAAACTCCTGAGAAACTAGGACATTATTAACCTTTAGCTAAACATCGTTGCTTTTTATTATTTCATGAATTAAAAATTCTGAAGACTAAACTTCAACAGAAACATAAATACACAGTGAATCACTTATTGAAATAGTCCGAAAATTACGAAAAAACAACGACTCACATTATTGACAATTTCGTAGGAGAAATCTTCTGTGACTGGAGCACCGGAAAGAGAAGCATGCGAAGCACATGACAGGTATGTCTTTTCTGCTGGTGTGTGCTCTTTCTTGCTTTCACCGAATAAAGCTTTTTTCAAAGCTTCTTTCTCTTGACGCTGCTTCATCCATATGTGTGGTGGAAGATAGCCGGGTGGTTGCTTGAAATCACTGTCTCTTGCATGTATTTCATGATTATCAACTCTAGAGGTCTTTATAGAATTATACCGTGATAAATGCAGGTAGACAATTCTGTATCGGTTTAAAATCATTTTATTCATTTTTGTGGTGATAAGTTAAATCCTGCTTGTTAGGAAACTTCACGGCTGAAATTTAGAAATCAATCAAGATAATTAAAGCTTATCGTTATATCTGTCAAATACTAAGTAGATATGTACACGTTTTATAAACAAATTCAGTGAAAACTCATCTGTACCCAAAATTTGTGAGGAAAAGACCGAATAGTCTGAATGAAATTTAGTTCTCCATTGTTTCACTGGGATTGTGCTTTACCCCCAGATACCTGCTGGCTAGTTTGGTATATAAAGAATGTATGCACGTTTCCTGAACACGTCGAACAAAAATTTGAGTATGTTTAGCACACGTTACACACCTGTTAAATGCACAGATTTAATCGGCCTTCTACTGTCCAGAAACATCAGTTGAATATGAGGTGTTTGTCTGGTTGTGAAAAGATGGATACGCTGTACGCAACAATGTGATAATTTTAAATGCAAGACGTGATCTTAGGAAATTATCATCACTATAATGGTCGTACATAGTGGAACTATACTGGTGAATCAATACAGAAGTGCACACAGATATGCATCTGTACAAGTTGTTCCTTCTGCGGTTATCACAAGAAATGTCTACTGCTTCGTAAACTAAGATCATCGACAATCTACGTAAGTCCGATACAACTGTCACAAGTTCCCATAAACTAAGTAATATCCTCGATAAGCTAGTCAATGATTCATCACAACCATTCTTAATCACCCCTAGAGTCAGGTTATTAGATTCTGCTCCTCTTCATCGTTTTACCCCGCAAATAGCTTTAGTAACAATGGTTACAGTTTATGGATACCACTACATTTGGTTCAAATTAGCGATAAGGGATTTCACTTATCATTGGCGTTGATTTCATTACCAGTAGCTTACCTTAAGTTCACTCTCAAACTATCTAGCATACTTGTCAAAACTCTATTGATTCTCTTTACTCATTTTCTTGTCTACCTTTGTGTGCTATTTGGAACGTGGCCACTCGAACTGCTGCACTTCGGTGGTAAGTTTTATGTTGAATCCAGACAGACAGATTGTTCGAAAAGATAGAATTTAGATCGATGTAAATAAGACAAATTGGTAAAGATTCAAGATCTTGGAATCGCCTATTCTATGGGGGCTTCGATAACTTCGCAAGATATATGGTTGGAACATTGGGTAGAACATTTTGAAGATCAGTCCAACTGACCTACAACTGCTAAAACAGTTGATCACCATACAATTCCAACTTGAATGGGATGTACATATGGGTTCTTAAACTGTAAATGGTCTTACCAAAGTCGTCTGAGGTGTGAAACGATGCAGAGTGGTAGAATCTAATGGCCTGACTCTAGAAGTGTTTAAGAATGGTGATGGTGAATTATTGACTAGCCTACCTAGGATACCACTTAGTGTACGAGAAGCTATGACAGTTGTATCGGATTCTCATAGTTTACAAGGAAGCAGATTTGTTGTGATGACAGTAACATGACCGACTTCAATGACACAATAGCTTATATTTTACGTTCCAGCTCGGTATAAACAAAATGGAGAGGAGGGAGATTCCAAACTGAAACAAAGGTGTATAGATTGAATGTCCATGTTTTGTCGTATTTTGTAACTAAGGTGTAATTGCCAGAACTTTACGCTTGTAATATTTTTCAGCTACAGGCATCATTTGACTGTCGTATTGTGGCAACTTTTAGTTAAAGAAAGTGGTAAAAGAACATTATGTCAGTTAATTCATTCTATTCGAAATCCTGCGGCTATATAACAGCTCATGAAGTTTCTATATCGAGGCATTGACAAAATGCAGTATCCTGAATAAAATCTGCATTTGAATGTGTGACATGATTCAACACGATTACTTTGAACCAACCCCTCCATTGTTTAAGGACAGGGGTTGCTTGTATTCTTTGTTTCACTTATTTAAGAAGTTGAACCAGCACTTATAAATCAGTTGCAGATGAAATCTTCTAACGACTGAGAGAGACTCATCCAGCACTTACTAACTAACGTCATTTTTGGTACAGAAGTGAAAACCCAATACCAACAAAATGAGTGTATTCTGTGCAGAATTCTTCCAGTTAAATTTTGCGGCTGCCAAAAGTATATCAAACTACAGGAATTTATGGATAAATGCTTTCGTTCACTAGTATGCAGTATGCTTAGAAATAATGAAATTAGAAGTAATCTTAAGTTAGGATCGAAAGTCAAACTGGTATGTGGAGTTTTGGTTGACTAGTAGGCTAAGACATGCAACACATGTAGTCGAAAAAATAAAAGCTGGACGCACCTACCTGGATTTACATCTAGACAAACACCGGAGGAAATAATGCTCAGATCAAACTGCAAATTAACACAGGGATAATGACAAACTGGGACTTTTCGAAGTTGTCAGCGCTGTCAGTACTTAAAAATTTCAGTGTTGAAACACATTAGTCTATGCAGAAATAATCGCCACACCCTTGCATGATTATTTTCACTTTAACGTATGTGAAAGAATTTTTATCTGGCAATTCCTGGTGGGCTTAATCATCCTAAAGATATGCATAACTAGATTGCTTCGAAAAAATTACTAATAGTTAACACATATTCAGAAAGCTGCTTCACAACCCGATGTCACTCTCCTCACCTAACACAGGATTTCCATACGGAGATTTTCACAAATATTAGGCATGAAAGGCTCTTGTTGCCCTTGTTAATCCTTGCGATACATATCTCTGCAGAGACCTGATTTCTCAACGATGGAGCTGTTACTACTGAATCAGGTGAGGAGTTCCGGTCGTTGACCACTCTGTGAGAGAATCTAAATTCCACACCTATGTTACTCGACCTCGATTTGAACACCTTCTTGTGGTGACCTCGTCAATATACCCTACACGGAGAGAGAGATCTGAAAGGCCAATCCCTAAATCACCCTGCAATATACGGTATGCCAAAATTAAGTCGCCTCTCCTTCGGTACGACAACGGGAAGAGATTTAAATGCTCCATCCTCTTATCATAAGGGAAGTGTCAGATGCCACTAAATAATATGGTTCCTCCCTCTGTACTCTTTCCAGGGTATGCGCCTCCTTTTTGAAGCATGCACTCACCACTTTTATGCAGTATTCTAGATGAGGTCTGACATGTTGCATAGAGTACCTGGAACATACACTTGTCCTTAGAAGTGCCCATTGCATTGGATAAGCTGCTGCCCCATCACAATTTGTCTTCGTTTTTAAGTCATGGCTTTCAATACTTCCTAAGTCTTTTTATCCCTTAACATCTTGCAGTTCTGTATCCTCCAGGGAGTACGACGTTTAAGACCTCTGATGTAGGTACGTTACCGCGCTTTTCTTGGAACTAATTTCCAAACTCCACAGGCTACCCCATTCAGCTAATTTATCTAGATCGTTTTGTAGTACCAACCTATCGTCGTTATTATTTAGTCTTCCACATCTCAATATCGTCTGCAAATAATGAGGAAGATGAGGTAAGAATTTTCGGCAGTTCATATACGTATAATAGGAATAGCAGGGGGCCAAGTACAGTTCCCTGAGGCACTCCACTTAGTACTGCTTTCCGCCCTGACAGCACACCATTAACCCTTACTTTCTGCCTTCTATCCATCAGGTAGTCGCTAAACCACTCACATAAGCGTTGGTTTAATCCAAAACGCTTGAGTTTACTAGAAAGACCTAAATGGGATACCTTATCGAATGCTTTACTAAGATCGATAAAGACAACGTCCAATAGATGGTTCTTATCCCTGGCTTGGACCCAATCTTCCCCAGCTAACAGTAATTTTGTCAGGCAGGATCGTCCTGGTCGGAATCAGTGCTGTTCCACCTCCAGTAAGCCATGTTTCTCCATATGAGCTAAGAGCTGATCCCTTATGAGTGTTTCTAATACCTCTGCTATAACGCAGGTCAGACTTACAGGCTGGTAATTAGATACTAACTGCCTGTTGGACGTTGTCTTTATCGATCTTAGTAAAGCATTCGATAAGGTATCCCATTTAGGTCTTTCTAGTAAACTCAAGCGTTTTGGATTAAACCAACGCTTATGTGAGTGGTTTAGCGACTACCTGATGGATAGAAGGCAGAAAGTAAGGGTTAATGGTGTGCTGTCAGGGCGGAAAGCAGTACTAAGTGGAGTGCCTCAGGGAACTGTACTTGGCCCCCTGCTATTCCTATTATACGTATATGAACTGCCGAAAATTCTTACCTCATCTTCCTCATTATTTGCAGACGATATTGAGATGTGGAAGACTAAATAATAACGACGATAGGTTGGTACTACAAAACGATCTAGATAAATTAGCTGAATGGGGTAGCCTGTGGAGTTTGGAAATTAGTTCCAAGAAAAGCGCGGTAACGTACCTACATCAGAGGTCTTAAACGTCGTACTCCCTGGAGGATACAGAACTGCAAGATGTTAAGGGATAAAAAGACTTAGGAAGTATTGAAAGCCATGACTTAAAAACGAAGACAAATTGTGATGGGGCAGCAGCTTATCCAATGCAATGGGCACTTCTAAGGACAAGTGTATGTTCCAGGTACTCTATGCAACATGTCAGACCTCATCTAGAATACTGCATAAAAGTGGTGAGTGCATGCTTCAAAAAGGAGGCGCATACCCTGGAAAGAGTACAGAGGGAGGAACCATATTATTTAGTGGCATCTGACACTTCCCTTATGATAAGAGGATGGAGCATTTAAATCTCTTCCCGTTGTCGTACCGAAGGAGAGGCGACTTAATTTTGGCATACCGTATATTGCAGGGTGATTTAGGGATTGGCCTTTCAGATCTCTCTCTCCGTGTAGGGTATATTGACGAGGTCACCACAAGAAGGTGTTCAAATCGAGGTCGAGTAACATAGGTGTGGAATTTAGATTCTCTCACAGAGTGGTCAACGACCGGAACTCCTCACCTGATTCAGTAGTAACAGCTCCATCGTTGAGAAATCAGGTCTCTGCAGAGATATGTATCGCAAGGATTAACAAGGGCAACAAGAGCCTTCTATTCTCGTAATCTGAATCTGTACCGTTTGGATAATGCACCTAAGATATAATTATTAATGA